CTGTGGCTGGCTCCTCGCTGAGCCCAGGCCCGTGGCTGTGTGTCCTCAGGATGCCATCGATGACAAGCTGGACACCAAGCACTACCCGTACATCTCCACCCGCTCCTCCGCCTCCTTCAGCACCACGGCCGTCAGGTGGGTGCCCCTCCTCCCTGTCCTTCCCCAGCTGCATCACCACCAGCAGCCACCCCGTACCAGCCCCAGGGGCTGCATCCAGCTCTGGGAGCTGCTCAGGCATCCCGTGCCTCAGTTTCCCCTCAGGCACTTCATGTCTCCATTTCCTTGAGGCACCCCGGGTCTCAGTTTCCCTCCAGAGAGCCCTTTAGGAATCCCTTGTCTCAGTTCGCTTCAGGCGTCCTGTGCCTCAGTTTCCCTTCAGGCACTCTGTAGCTCAGTTTTTCTTTAGGCATCCCGTGCCTCAGTTTCCCTACAGATAGCCTGCGTCTCAGGGAACCCATGCCTTCATTTCCCTTCAGGCATCCCATTCCCCAGTTTCCCTCTAGATATTCTGTGCCTCCGTTTCCCTTTAGGGAAGATGCCTCAGTTTCCCTCCAGGCATCCTGTGCCTCTGTTCCTCTGTAGGAATCCCATTCCTCATTTTCCCTTCGGACACCTGATGCCTCAGTTTCCCTCCAGGCATCCCGTGCCTCAGTTTCCCTCCCTGCAGCAGCGAGCAGCGCTCAGGGCTGGAGCCCCGTTCTTGGTGTGCTGTAGCGGCGATGTCTGTGTGATTTAACTGCGATGTGGCGCCTCGTGCCCGTCCTTCACCCTCCTCTTCCTCTCCTCAGTGCCCGCTACGGCCACTGGCACAAGAACAAGGCCCCCGGCGAGTACCGGAGCGGCCCCCGCCTCATCATCTTCATCCTGGGCGGGGTGAGCATGAACGAGATGCGCTGCGCCTACGAGGTGACACAAGCCAGCGGCAAGTGGGAGGTGTTGATAGGTGAGTGCTGGCCCTGGGGCTGGCCCCTGCCCTCCTGCTCATCCCACGCTCCATCCCGCAAATTCCCGCAGCTGGAACTCTGCGGAAAGGTTTTCTCCGGACATCTGTGGTCACCCCCCGTGTGTCCCCTCCTTCCCCGTGTTGTGGCACTCCAGACATGCTCATTTCTCGTTTTTTCGTGTTTCCTGGCTGGTTTTGGCCGAGCAGGGCTGGGTGAGAGGGGAGGAGGTTTGGCAGCTCGGGTGGCTCCTCAGTTTTGGGGTCATTACAGGAAGAAAAGTGCAAAATAAAGAGGGGTGCAAAGAGGAACCAGGTTTTTCTGTCGTCAGGGTCAGCTCCCATCTCTGCTCCTTGAGTTTGACACAGAAGAAACTCTACCAGGTGTTAGCAAGGAGCTGTTGGGTCCCTAAAATTCCTCTGGGAAGCACAGCTTGGATACACACCTTGTAGGGCACAGGCGGGCATCCTTTACCATCTGATGCCTGGTGGAGCCTGTCCCCAGCATCTCTTCTGCTTCCCAGTCTCCATCACCTCCTGCTGTGTCCCTGTCACGGGACACCCATCCCAGCTCCATCCTGCCTGTCTCCCATCTCATCCCGCCTCTCTCCAGCATCCCTGCATGCACCTCTGGAGCTCCAGCCTTCACCAGCCTCCTTCCTCTTCCTCTTCCTCCCCCCCAGAAGCAGCTGGTGGTGGTGGTGGTGGCGTGGGGGAGCCTCGGCGCAGCCGTCAGCCCCGCTCTGTTCTCCTGCAGGTTCTACTCACATTCTCACTCCCACCAAATTTCTCATGGACCTGAGGCACCCCGACTTCAGGGACTCCACTAGGGTATCATTTGAGGATCAGGCTCCAGCAATGGAGTGAGCCAAAGAAACCAAGTAAAGGCAGCTTACTAATGAAAAAGAAACTCTTCCTCCCCGAAGGGTTTTCTTTGATTCTTCCGTTCCTCCTTTTTTTTTTAAAATCCTTGTTTTGGGGTTTGTCGGGTTCTCCGATTAGAAAATGCTTGCGGTTCCTCCGAGCAGGTGGAAAAGCATCGGGTGTCGCTCCATCATCCCTCAGCCATGTCCCCTGGCCGGCTCCTTCCTGCCATGAGCTCCCCCTCGCCAGGGCCGGAGGGGTCAGGGTCCTGCCTGCCCCACGCAGGAGTCCCAGGGCCGGGCAGGGGGACGGAGCTCCCGGGTTCTGCCCCGGCAGAGCTGGAGCGGGGCTGGGGGAGAGGGGCAGCACTGGAGACCCCCAAACTCTGCTGTCCATCCCTGCAGGCTGGGCACTGCTGGGACCCCCCCGCTCAGCTCAGGTTTGCTCTTGGATAGGCAGGAGCCTCCCGACGTTGCAGACTCCCAGTCCCCGCTCTGGGGTTCAGCTCCTGCTGGTTTCACCAGTGAGTGCCACCCTGGGCTGGTCCCTGCAGTGCCAGGGTGGCTGTGGGGCTGAGCCAGCGTGGTGGGAGCCCCTCTGGCACCGTGCTGGGGGACCCCCGAGCGAGGGGCAGCAGAAGGCAAGAGCCCTTTTTTTTTTCCTTGTCCTCTCCCACCCCTTCCAGCCACCTCTCTGTCCCCAGGATGCTCCGTGCAGCTTGGGGGGCCTGGGGAAGGCCCCTCCACGTCAGCTGTTCCCACCCTGCACCCCACTCGTGCCTCCTGCACCCCCGTGGGTCCCGCT